GTGTGTGTGTGTGTGTGTGTATATATATATTTATTATTATTTATATGTATATATATATATATATATATTCTGTATGTATGTATGTATGTATGTATGTATGTACGTATGTATGTAGGTATATATATATATATATATATATATGTATACATATATATATCAGAAATACTCACACAATTAACAAACGGCCGTGTCACCCTCTATCGAACACTGAATGTATGAGTAGTCACCTATACTTGATAGTGCGCAAGCTACCTAACCCGTAGTCCAATCAACCATCTATGAACTGATTTATCTTGTATTTCAACGTGGTTACTGACCAATTGTACATACGTAAATATGGCCCTGTCGCGCCCAGGAGGCTGTTAGAGACGAACAAGAGATGGAACTGTTCTGCAACTCAATACCGGGTAAGTGAATATACGTCATCGTACATCTGCGCACACCTCATGCCAGACGAACTGTGCGTTACAGGCGTGCCTGGGTAAACCATACTCAGTACTTGCGTAAGAGGTTTGCTTATGCATACAGACACGGAAAAATATTCATTCCATGCTGAAAAGAGTTGGAATTTATTTATAACGATCGAGAGGGATGAACCACTGATGACTCAGCGGCGAGAATACTTTACGCATCCTGCTTGTTTATAAATTAAAAATTGACAGGTTACAAGATGGCGAATCTCATAGAGGGAGGGCTTACACCCCTGCTCTCACAGTCACGACTGGGTGAAATCGGTTACTGCCTCGCAGCGTACCCTATCACTCTGTTATCGGCTGCTCTCAAGGTAAAGTCTTTGCATCAACAAGCTACAGTAGTGTCTGCATCACTAGGATTTCCTGAATATAGTTTATCTGCATTTAAATAGATACCTCAGGTGTGAGAGATTCACATCAAGAAGACAGAAATGGGTATTTGATTGCACCAATGAGGTCACAAAAGGCTATACATTTGCCTCAATAAGCTGAAAGCGAGTTTTCGCCACAACAATTTAATCGAAGAAAAGTCTTCGCTTTTCAAAAATCGGTTAAATATGTTGAAGTGGGTAGCGCTACGAAGCCTGACAGATTGCGAGAGGGTGGATCAACCCCAGCCCCTTCTTGCAGCCAAAGGTGCTGATTCGATACACAGCAGGAGAGATACATGTGCCGTGCAAAGCTAGTTTATTGTCCACACACACGGCCCTTTGAGAGCAAATCCGATGATATGTAGAACCGTATTGCATTCCATTGCATAGTGAAGTTTGTATTTATAGCATTCGCATTCACAATGTACGCATGTCGTTTAATATAGTCTATTATAATTTGTGGTTTCGCATGTGCTTAATACAGGGCATGACTTCGTCTCTGAAGGCCATCAAGGACGGAGGTGATCCCAACGACCTGAGGGACCGTAGTAAGAACCCCATTCTGACTTTTGAAGAGGTGAAAGACATAGTGGGATTCACAAGCTTTTATCAGGAAGAAGTTAAGTATGCCCCAGCTGGTACCAGCACAGATAAATAAACAGACATATTTCACACGCTATATGTATGTTCCTCAGGCTCTGCTAGACTACTAGCTAACGCCGCTGAAAGGCAAAAGTATCCTGTTATTCGAGGAATCAAGGCACATCTTTCCTCTCGGAAAAAAATCCAGTAGAGAGTGCATATATAACAGATACACTCTCACGCGTTCGTGATGGCATTATCAAGTCATAAATATCACTAGTTTAGAATTAGATCTCCCACTCACCCAGTCTCCCACACTCCGCTCTTTTAAAAAGTCTTCAACCGTGAGGTTTGCACTGTGCTGAGTGCTGTGAGTCTGTGACTGTGGACTGTGACTGTGCCAGACGGCCAGTGTGGACCTTGCGGCTTGCAGTTGACAGCTGTCAGCTGTGTAGAGTGTGACTGACTGGCTGTGTAGTGTGTGACTGACTGGCTGTGTCCTGTCACTGACTCACTGTAGGCACCGAAATATGCATGGAACTATTTAACAGGCGTCATGGGCGTCCTTTGCAATGAAGGCGTTATTGTGACGCCCAGGATCACATTTATTTATCATGACATTCTTTTCAGTCATGATTCAAGAACTTTATATTTTTTTACCAAATCATATGTATTTAAAAATATTTATTTTAATTTATGTTTTTTGTTGAAAAACATTTTTTTTAATTTTCTAATCAAGGTGCTTTCCAAGGAGTCCGTGGGCATGTAGGACTTGCTTTTGGCCACCTCTCACTTGCTTGTAACCATGCGACCTATTATAGAAGCATTCAACTCTCTTGCTTGTATCCAAGGAATACATGCAAACATAAATAAGAGAGCTGGATATAGACGATGCGTCAGAATTCAAAGAAAGATGAACAGCTACAAGAACATTCTGCCGCCAGGGTACGAAGCTGATTCGTCCCGTCTTGTCCCGAAAAATCTGTCGGGGCACGCACCGCTTTCCAGTTTAGATCTGGATTACAACGACAACGAAGATGCGTTTGAAAAGTTACAGTTATTTGGCCGGGAAACAGGAGCTCATACCAAGTGGTCGTGGCAGTGTGTGAATGCTATACTGTCATGTGCAAGTGTCAATGCCATTATGACATTAGTGGGGTTGAACTGTATTGTCGGGCTGCTGTGCATCAACTGTACGTTCTCGATTCTTTTGTTTAATAGTGTCTTCTCAATCGCATCGTTCAATAGCTATCTCAGTATTGAATGTTCGCAGGGCTCTATGGAAATCTGTATTTGAACCCCCATGTTTCATTTACAATCGAAATGGCCCTTAAGTAGCAAATGAATCAATGCGTAGCGCCTGGCTATTCGCACTTTTTTTGCTATCCCTAAATGCGCGAATAGCGAATATATCTACCTGTTCCCAGTACAGTGTGTATCTATGAGGCTACGAGACGAACAATCAGAAGAATTCGGTTGAAAATAGCACATGCATGGTCCCATGTGACCATATTTCACAGTATAGGCGACACATTGGGTTCACTTGGAGGATGTCTTTAAAATGAATTTATATTATATACTCGACCTTTCCCGACATATGCAGATATAAACCCTTTCCTTGGTCATCAAGTGCACATTATGATTTTGTATTGATAATCGAATGCTAAGTTGGCGGAATCTGCCTTCTCGCATTCAACTTGAACTGATGCATCAGTAGACAGTGATATAGACCGAAGCAATAGTGAGCGGCAGCACAAGGTGCTGGGTATGGAATGGATTCGGCACTGCGTTGAACTCTTTTTGAATTTTCTTTTACTGTCCTGTGAAATTCGACCTTGGTTGCAAAGAATCCAGTTCCATGACTGCAGTGTTGCAAGAAAAAATTTAAAATCTTACAATACTTCTTCAGCTTGAGGTAGAATCTATAACTCATACATCAAGCACAATTCTGACACAAATAACGGAGCATCTCTACTATGAATTGAAGACTACATTGATTTTGTCTGAGTATATTAAGTTTGCTGACTAGATATAATGTGCGTGAGATTGTGTAGTGTAGAGTATGTGGTAGAATGCTTGGGGCTTGACATTTTAATCGTATATTTTCCCGGATTTTATGGGGATTACTTCAAGAAGTGATGGATAATTAAAACACAAGTAACGACTGAACTAACCGTATCAGGCTACCCACACGATCTTTACATTCTACATAGCTTCTACATAACAATCATCCATCCTGCGTGTGGTGTGAGATTTAATGTGTGCGCGAAATTGTAAACTCAGACACTCTTGTTACACGTATTGGCCATGTGAGTTACGTGTCAATTGGGAACACAAAAGTCGGTGGACAGTATTTAGTGAGTAAATACTAATAAACAGGACTACTATAGAGTAGACACTAGACAGTAGACACTATTAGTATTTAGTACTATAGACTATAGTAGATTGTAGACAACCCGTACATTCTATTCACTACGTCCCGACCAATCAAAAGGACGCTTTAAAATACCGGTATTGTTGGCTAAGAAGTGTACAACAGAGGGTTTTGTAGGCGATTAGGCGTGGTCGCGTGGGTCCAAACTCACTTATACATGAATACATTTCGTGATTTTTGAAGTGTTGGCTGCAGGCTGTAGAGTGTAGACTGTAGAGTGTAGGCTGACGCCTGTGACGAGGCGGACGAGTGAATGCTGCAGCCTATCTGTAGGTGTATAGTAGGCTGTAGCTTATAGCAGTGCTGTGTAGGTCGTAGTATTAATAGGCGTAGTTTTTGAACACAATATTTGGTGATGTGACGGAAAGATCAAAAAATAGGGAACATGAAATTGTCACAATTGTGTCATCAAAAAGGTTTGTCTATACTAAAACATAAATTTCCGATGATACGTCCGTCGTCAGATGGAAATAAATAAATATTCTGCACCAGCAGAGGGCGCTTTCATTTCAATATTAATGGTATGACATCGGTATTGTGGGTATTGATATTGATATTGGTACATAACTCTATATAGATATTGGTAAATATTGGTATTGGTATCGGTATTGTGGGTATAGGTATTGGTATGGTATTGGTTTGGTATTGGCATCGGTATTCGTATTGGTAGTGATATTGGGCATTGTTATGGTCCACAGGTCACGCCGTCAAAGTTGAGGCGAGTATGAAAAGCCTATTGGTATTCGAATCAACAGGATGATGGTTACTCGTCGTCAAGTACGCCGACAAGTACGGGCAAATAGATACGCCCATCACGCGGTGGTGATTGCCGGCGTGTGTGTGCCTCCGGACGTGTGCATGCGGATTCTAAGTGACCTGGACACTGAATCGCTGATAGAGTGCAAGCTGGTTTGCAAGGCGATGTATAATGTGGCCAATAAGGTACCCCTGAAAACACTCCCAGAAAAGTATGTTAGTATTGGAGAATGGGTTCTATTGTGCATGTGGCGAATATCCACAGTTATATTCTATACTGCTGAAACCGTTGCGTTTAAATGCTTGCTTCGTTGGTGTATGAGTTGCCCTTGTCAGTGTATATAGTATCTATATCATCACGTGTTATACGATATTATATGTTGTTTAGACAGGATGTGAAGGACGACACACCTGTACCGACCAGGCACTTTCAATCACAGCCGCATCATTGGTTGGTCAATACTTCGAAATTCCCCTGTTTGCATTAACTGGGAGGTCACTGGCCTACTCCACAATTCGCAGTAGCTTGCAGTAGTTATAAAAACTGCGATAGAAGATAGGGAGTAAGAATATTCTTGCTCGTTTCATTTTGTCAGTGTACAGTATATTACCGTCATATGAGTTGTGACACGCTTAACTTTTCGCAAACCATACGGATATGTAAGCTGTCTTGATAAAGTTTTTAAGGACGGCACGCTTGTACGTTCGTTGTGTGTTGAATGCTCAGCAAGCCTTTGTATTGTGTACTGCGTCGTTGTCTTTTCATTCTCGGCGACCGTGCGTACGCATTCATAGCAAGAAAGATTTTTCTGCAATTTTCATATACTTTGCGTTTCAAGATAAGATGAGATATTGCTTGTGGGCGAACAAGAATAGCAGATGATACAAAATCCTTGTCAAATTGTTATGAGTTCTCTTACTTGATTGCTAACGCAACCGGGGAAGGATGCTTATGACGAGGTATATAAACGCGCTCATAGCTATTTGTACACATGTGTGTGGTCCTATACATTCGTCTCATTAACCAACCAACTACAAACATGCACGGTTTCCAATACAGACTTATCGGAGGGAGAAAAATACTGCCGAAACGACAGCCACAGATACTCAGCCTGTTACGCCATACTCCTCGGCTCGAAGTCCTCGATATCAATTTCAACACGTGGAAGAATACACTTCGGTCCAAAGGCAAACTCACCAGGACTGCCAGACTCATACCCCATTTGCGCACCCTGAGCTGTGGCTTTATGTCGCCCGACCAGCTCTATTCCATGGACGACTACATTTTAAATGTAGTGCATTTTCTCAAACTGCTTCCCTTAGTGTCCTCGTGGGAGTTCTGGCAGTGGCAGGTGGGTGATTTAGACCTCTTGGATCTGCAGAACCTGACTTACATAGACGCTCACAAGTGCCGCTTAGGTAGTCTGAAGTCCAATTCACTCCGTCAAGTACACGCACGGAACCTTCATCCGGGGATCAACGTACAGAGCTTACTACACGATTGCCCAGCGCTAGAGGTCTTGACACTGGATGGACATGTCCTCGACTACCCGCTGGTTAGTACACGACTGCGGGTGTTACGTGTGAAGTGCATCGGTCTTGAAAGTGCACTCGTGGGGTGCACTGTCTTGGAGACTTTGGAATTGGACCGCCAACAGGGCACGGTGCTTCCGCGATGCCTATCGATCCGTAATCTGAAGATACACTTTGCAATTAATATACACAGGCTGCTAGCAAGTTGTCTTATAAGGCACCTGAGCTTGTTGGACCTGCCGACAAGCTTGCTGTATAGGCCTCATGTGCTTCCGCCCGGCTTACTTTACTTGAGAGTCGCAGGGTTGGATGTAGAGTATCCCCTCAGCCAGAAGGCACTGAACGTAGCCTCAGACACCACATTTATCTATATATTAACTCCTGATTCGGAAACCATGAGAGACTACGACCATATGCCCGTGAGCGATTTTTGGCGAAGAATACGAAGAGCCTGGCCGTTCAAATCGTCGATATAGATGTTCGAGCGTTTGCCGTAGTACAACATGCCAACGCAATGAAAGGAAAGTTTCAGCTCCGCCGCGTATGAGACGACATAGAGTGGTTTCATGTATGGTATGTCAATAGTCTCGGGCAATCTTAAATTCTGAACCTGGTGACTTGTACTGAACCTGGTCACTCGTACTGAACCTGATCACTCGTACTGAACCTGATCACTCGTACTGAACCTAGTGACTCATACTGTACCTGGTCACTCGTACGGCACATAATGACTTGTACTGAACCTGGTCACTCGTACTGTACCTGCTCACTCGTACTGTACCTGGTGACTCGTACGGCACATGATGACTTGTACTGAACCTGGTCACTCGTACTGAACCTGGTCACTCATACTGTATCTGGTCACTCGTACGGCACATGATGACTTGTACTGAAACTGGTCACTCGTACTGTACCTGATGTGACTTGTACTGAACCTGGTGACTCGTACTGAACCTGGTGACTCGTACTGAACCTGGTGACTCGTACTGAACCTGTTGACTCGTACTGTACCTGGTGACTCGAACTGTACCTGATGCGACTTGTACTGAACCTGGTGACTCGTGCTGCACATGGTGACTTGTACAGAACCTGGTCACTCGAACTGTACCTGGTGACTCGCACTGAACCTTGACTCGTACTGCATTGATACTAAGCGTCGGCTCTATTGATCAGAACACGTCTTCAGCGGCGGTTGTCACTGTCTCAACTGTGCAAGCTCTGATTCGAGACAAGGATGTGTCACATGCTTCACCGGAAGTTAGAATCGCTTGCTAGCCTTGTGGGGATGTTTTGGAGAGACGTGACGTTGTATGGATTATCCTGAGATAGACGGGGTATTCACTATTCAGTACCTAATAGTATAACACGGGCTTGTTCCGTTCTCTGATGTACCGGACAATGTCTAACACTCCGATTGCTGTATGTGCTCACAAACTCTCGACAAGGTCTGCGGAGATGTGTACCCGCCAGAAACCATTGGCAGTTATAAAGCTCTTGTTTCCTCCGTTCCGTAATGTGCGCCGAGGCTGAAATCGCAAGCGCGCCCTGACTATATAGAGACGCGCGCACTAGAGGTCCACCCATGGCCCAAATGAGCATACCCGCCAAAACAAATACGGGTTCAAAGCGTTAAGCGTGAGCGAACACTTGGCCCTATTTGCTACACGTGAGATGCGATAACATTCAGTCAGAAAAGGTCTGCGTTGAGGAGACTGCCCATGGGTCAAGTGAGCATACCCGCCAAAACATATACGGGGTCACAGCGTTAGAGAACACTTGGCCCTATTTGTTACACGTCAGATGCGATAACATTCAGTCAGAAAAGATTTGCGTTAAGGGGACTGCTGCATGCATGCTATTTGGAGCTATGGGGAAAAAAATGCGACGGAGATGGTGAGGTAACATATGAAAGCAAGCCAATCAGGAAATAAATTAACTACTACCTGCGCCTACAAGGCAGGTTTATTACAAAAGTACTTTTTAAATGAGGTTGCTTCTTTGGTCACGGAAAACATGGCCCCCAAGACCATTAGCGCAATAATGAGTTGTTACAGCGGCGTTATAGAGGAGTGCAATTACTTGGTGAAGAACGTGATGTCCCCATATTCCGATTGGGGTCTGAGTCATGAACAATCCGTGTTTGCATACTACGATCTGAATACGTTATGTGCATATATCAACACGCATTACTGACAGGCACCAAGCAACGTGTTGTGACGATAGTTGGAGCGAATTGGCTTTATTTCTCTGAGTAATTCCACTTCGTCGGATCCAACGCGGGGCTCACGGACCCCGCTCGCCATCGTGACTTCCGATCATAAACGCTTTTAAAACGTTTTTACTACTACTTGCAGTAACTGCAAACTTCGTATTCTCGATGCAGATTTGCAATTGAGATTGAATTGTATGTAAATGCAGGACATACAATACAGTGTATATTTCCGTGAATGCTCGGAACATCTGGTCTCCCACAATTATCACGATTCTTCCGTAACATTTCCTCTCACAGTTAAAGTGATCTAAATAAGCTTCGAAAGTGTCAGTGAGTGAGCGATTCGGACGAGCAACCGCAACCCACAGTGCAGCTTCCACATTCCTATAAACTTCAGTACAGAACACAAGGCACCAAGTTAGGGAACACAACTTAGCGTCTACCGATGCTCATTCCGGTAAACTTGATGCGACCCTCTTTCCCCTTGCCGCCCGCCCCCCCACAATCCCTCTCGCTTCAAGTATAGTCGCACGAAATTCATCTCATAAGCCAATGCAGTCTGGTTGCTGCTATCTACACTACACTGATGATCCTCTACTGTGCGACTGATGTCTCCTGACGACGGGGTTGCGCTGCTTCACAGCCACTTAACGCCATACTAAACGAGTTACAGCCACTCCACACTATATTAAACGAGTTAAAGCCAACGAGTTAAAGCCACTCAGCGCCATAGTAAACGAGTGGGATGTGTTGGCTACACCCACATGATCCCTCTGTCCCTCAGAGGTACAGCATCGTGCCACATCTCTGTCTCAAGCAAGCATGCCGCCGATAGAACGCCCCACGCGCGAGTGCCTTTAACGACTCGGCGCGTGACCCATTGGCTGTAGGCGCTGCTGGGAGACTTGCCAACGTGGCATTAACACGTGGACACACTGCGGCTCACACTGTGGAGGTCAGATGTGCCAGGTGATGAACTCACATCGTGATAGACTCTCTAGCCACGCGTCTGTGGTTTGATTTCGATTGAACAAAGGAGTTGAGGTAAACAGCTCGGGTGTCGTAAACATGTCGGTTGTCGTAAATGTTTTGGTTGTCGAAAACAGTTCGGTGGCGGCGCAGTGCATTCTCCGTCGACGTCAATGTGAGATGACAAAGCCACCGACAATGTATCACAACAACTCAAGTCTCAGGTGCAATCCTAAACTATGTTGCACGTCCCATAACGCCCGAGAATGTGCTGATATAACCGTACGACAGTGCCCGTACGACAGTGCACGCTTGTGTCCAAGCACAGGACCATATAATCAGACACGACATGGAATACACGCAGCCTGAAATGCCATCACCGCTTCTTCTTGTTCTTCAACACCTCCTGCCTCACCTGTACCGATTGTATCACTATAGACGAATAGAGACGTACAACTGAGTACATTGGCATACATACACCTCCTGAAGCAACTGTACCGATTTTATCACTACAGACGAATAGGGACGTTCAACTAAGTACATTGCCATACATACACCTCCTGAAACAACTGTACCGATTGTATCACTACAGACGAATAGAGACGTTCAAACTGAGTACATTGGCATACATACACCTCCTGAAACAACTGTACCGATTGTATCAATACAGACGAATAGAGGCGTTCAACTGAGTACATTGGCATACATGCACCTCCTGAAGCAACTGTACCGATTGTATCAATACAGACGAATAGAGACGTTCAACTGAGTACATTGGCATATATACACCTCCTGAAACCACTGTGAATGTGTACACCAAGGTATAAATCGCACCAGTGATTGGCGAGCACAGTCAATTGAATGGTCGATGAAATGAGGTTGGGACAGAAGTGCGTATCAAGAAGATAGAACTGAACGTTTTCAGATTTGGTCCCAGAACTTTGTATGAACACCACAAACAACTCACACAAACGGTTTGTATCGCAGTAATTATTGAAGCGAGCATATAAAAATAGATCAAACGTCCCATATCTAACACCAAGCACCGACTACAACACCACGGCAGCACCAACCAAACGATACACCACCACCTGGCACATAGCAGGTGGATATGAAGACACACCACACGGCGCATATACACCCACAGCTGTGATGCGCATCCACGCAAGTACCACGCGCATAAGCCAATCGCGTGACGTGACTTACAGTTGACAATCGTCCGCCCATCGGCGTCGTCTGGGGGGATGTTGGTCAGGACAGCTAGCAGCAGCCACACGGCGCACTTGTACATGCGGTTGGCGTTCTCGCCGTCGTTCAGCAGCTCATTGGCTGCGGCGTCCTTGCACTGCAGCGACATGCAAGGTCAAGGAATGAATGGATAAGCTACGCTCACACGTGTACATGTGTGTCTGAATGATAGTACCCAAGTGTGTTGTGTGTTTGCGAGTACCCGTGCGCAATGAATAACCTACGCTCACACGTGTACATGTGTGTCTGAATGATAGTACTCAAGTGTGTGTTTGTGGGTTCCCGTTCGCGTAGCAATCCGATACCCTAATGATGCTCATAGCTCATCTGAAACAAGTCTCCGTAGCACACATACACACACACACACACACACGAGTACAGAAGCCCGAACGAACGTCATCGTATAGCTAACATGCACAACGAACGCAAAAGACCTACACCCGTACACAACTGTGTGGAGATCACCCGTACACAACTGTGTGGAGATCACCCGTACACAACTGTGAAGAGATCACCCGTACACAAATGTGCAGAGGTCCCACAGCATTCAGCTTCCCACAACACACATACGGCACTCTACACCCCGCACACGCCGAACCCCAACCCAGCCCAACCCAACTCAACCCAACCCAACTCAACCCAAAACTCAACCCAACCCAACCCAACTTAACTCAACCCAACCCAACTCAACCCAACCTCGCGAATATCGCACCGACTCACCAATTTGTTCAACGTGTAGTCGAATATCAGCTTGTCGGCATTGGGGGTGTCCATGCGATCGCTGCCGATGCCCATCATCTGGCCCAAGTCAATGAGCTTGGCGCGTGTCTTCTCCGCCTTGGCGAGGCAGCTGTTGTATCTGTCCCTCAACTGCTGCACCGCTGTTGGTGGTGTGAGGTATTGTAAACGCAACCAGAGCGGAAGGCAATGCCCACGGAAAGGGAAGCGAGAGAACATTTGGGCTGTCAATAGCCGTCACATACATACATACACACACACACACACACATACACATATCTAGGTTAGCATGTTTTGCTTAATAGTCCTATATGGTGCACTGATAGGTATACCTTGGTTGATTGCCACAGTGACCGTGCGTGCCTGTTCGATTTTCTGCGTAGCGACGTCCAACGCTAATCTGTACTGCTTCAGACCCCGAACAAACAGTGAGAGCGCACACAAATGTCCGTGACGGTCTCGGGCCTGTGCACGAGTACAGAAGTTGGTACAGGAAAGGTGAGTATACCGGCCTATATCTATATACGTATATGTAAATATGCAAATTTATTATACTACATCTACATCTACATATACATTTACATCTACATCTACATCTACATAC